AACTCAAACGTAGTTTAGAAAACTAGTCCCATCCGAATAGGGCTAGTGAGCACTTTTTTTATTAATGAGCAGAGAAGTTAAATCAGGTGAGGGAAACATCAGAAATGTGAAGTATTGGGGGGGCCTCCAGGACCAGAACTGAGAAGAATTGATCTAATCATCATAGCTGATTATGATGGCACAGTGCATGTTTGTAATTGTACGCTTTTGTTTGTGTGGCTGTGAGAAATGAGATGCTCAGTAATAGGAGCCTCCAGGATACTATGAGAAGCCACCAATTCCCACACTCAGGGGAAGTGGGGCAGCTCCCATGAGCCGTTCACAGGAGGAGGAGGACGACTCACTCACCCTGTTGGACTCAATCATGCCCGTCCTTGCGTGGAACTTGACTGTTTTTAACCGTGCACGCTCTTTCTTTTCCACTCTGTGGATCAAAAATAAATAAATTTGTATGATTGGCAATGAACACTCTCCATTACTACAGGGGAAATGCTGTAATTCTGTCTGGACTTGTTGGCAGTACTGTACCTTTTCTTGCTTGGTATGACCCCAATTTGCTCACTCTCCCCATGGGGTGTAACCAGCCGTGCCTGCCACCACTCATCATCGGAGGCATTGATGACATGCAGGATGTCCCCATAGGAGAAACTCAGGCCCTGGCTAGGGAGGCAACTGTCCCTTGTCCTGTCGTAGTCAAAAAGAGCCCTGGGAAAACCAAACCAAACAATACATACATCAACAGTGTGCTGGAAGAGTGGGTATTCAGGTTTCATTGTAAAACATCTGTTGTGCTTGATTAAAGGATGGGTGTGGGAATACACATACACAGACAACAGTACATCATTGGACATCTGCACCTATTTGTTGTTTAAATTTGTTTAGCAGATGCTTTCTCACTAAAAGCAACTTACAATACACTTCCTACCAAAGGCATAGCAACCACTTTAGAAAAAAATATATATGTACATCCTTCCACATTTTGCAAGATTATTTTCAATTTACAGCACTGTTCGGTCAATTTTTTAATTGTTTTTGAAAGTCTCTTATGCTCACCAAGGCTGCATGTAATTGAGAAAAAAATAAAAATAAAACCGTAATACTGTTAAATTTTATCACAATTTAAAAGAATAACTATTTTTATAATGCAATTTATTACTGTGATGGCAAAACTGAATTTTCAGCAACCACCACTCAAGTCTTCAGCGTCACGTGATCCTTCAGAAATCATTCTAATATACT